TCAGTCAAAAAGCATCCCTCGCATTGCAAATTTGTACAGTGGTATACGTATATCGACGAGAACTACTCGTCGGGCTTAGATTCGTTCCACGAATGTGGGTATACACACAGGTTGCACAGCGAGACATTTATTACTCACTCGGGAGGTTCCAATAACTTTGTCGCTCCATCTTGGAGATGAGAGAGTGCGAGAGAGCTATACGCTTCGATCCCTATACTTTATTTCCAGCTGTTGCACTGATTCATCGCGATTCTTTAATTTTCAATCCGAAGATAGAACAGGCCCGTATATATATTCAGTTATAGGAGAGATGGAGAAAAAAAAAGTTCAAAGTTATGAGCTCGAGTGAAATAGTGCAGTAGCGTTCGTCATTTCATCTCCAAAGTAATCAAAGGAGTAGGCGGTTCCCTGTAGCCACCGACGCCGAGGCCGCCGCGCTTTCCAAGCCAGCATCTTCTCTCGGCTAGAATCGGCAGCAGCAGCAGCAGCAGATTCTTTTTTATTTTTCTCATTTTCTCTTTCGCTTGGGCTTTCGCTCTCGTCTATATATATGTGAACCGCCGTAACGATCTGCTATGACTGCTCTTAGGATGTTCCAAGTTTTCACGATTATTTGCCGCTGCTATAATTTCCCAGCAGCAGCAGCAGAAGCTAGCGAAAAAAGGCAAGAATGAGAGCGCTAAGGTACACACAGAGAGGCTTATATACATTATTGGAAAATGAATTAGTCGTTGGCTGGAGTATTTAAATTTTTCGGCAAACTCGAGTGCGCGATCGCGCAGGAAGCGAACGAACGAGCAGCTTTTGACCTATTTCTCTCTCTATCTCTCGCAGAGATGTACCACGCGATAAGCGGAAATCGTAACGATCTCTCTCATTACGCTTTGTTCGCCATCGGACTTGAATTTTTTTTTTTTTTTTGTGCAGCAAGCTTCATCGGGTTGGTCGTGCGTCAGCAGCAGCAGTAGCGCAGCGGCGCAGTAGTAGAGAGGAAAAGCACAGTGTAAAGGGGGGAAATTAAAGGGAAGGGCGTACACTTGATTTGTGGCGTTATCTAGTTTCTGCACAAAGTTATGTTTTCAATTAAAAAGTTTTGCAACACACAACCGTGTGCATAGACATAGCTGGGGGACAGGATGCGCCGCGAGGCCTCGCAGTACGGCGGCCAAAAGGCGACGGAGCGGACAGATTTGCTCTCGCTCGCTCGACGTTTACAATTCAATTAAAATCTCTGCTGCTCCGAGTGACAAATTAATTTTTCATTCGAACGCGCCCCTGCGCACGTATATAGAGAGACAGACGCGCGTGCAGTACGTAACTATCCGTAGGTGAGTAGGCCTGACTGATGGGCACTGTGACTACTCCGAACTACTGCGTATGTACTCGATGTAGCACGAGTTAGCTCTTATCGTGCTTGCCGCACTCCACTGCCTGCGATACGATATAGTCGCGCACTACCTATATAACGTGTTTTCTCTACATTATATACGAGCTCGCGTACATGTCGCGCAATGCATTCGTGCACAGCCCTCTATATGAACTATGCAGGCGAGCATTGCACACATGTGCGCGTAGAAGCTCGCACGATCGTATTCGAGCGAATGTAAAAATTAACATTTGTATATCATATAGTTTATTCGCGCGTGACCGCATGTTCCGCTTGAAAGAGACCCGTGAGTCTAAAACTATAATATTAGCTGCTGACCACTCATTGGCTGACTGGCGCGTCATTCGCAGTTACGTATCTTACCGAAGCTATCCTCGATTTCTTTGAATAATTTTTGGCATTCTTGATAGTCGGACGAAAAATGTTGCAGCGAGTCAACAGACCGTGATCTATCGTACATTCTTCGAGAGAGACGAGTAAAAAAATTCAGATAAAAACTCGGTGTTACGTTAGACGGACGAAAATAAAGATTACAGCAAAAAAATAGAGATTCAAAATGGTCGATAATAATTTAGCAAAAACTCGTTTTTCTCGAGAATGCATCGCATCTTTCGAAACGCGCGCGCGAGTCGTGCAGTATGAATCACACGCGTGCAGCGCAATATAGCACACAAGAGCCTACTACACTCGATGACTGCTCTAGCAGCAGCGACAGAGCCACCACAACGACAACAACAATGCAAGGTTACTCGAGCTTTCTGGTCAACTTGAACTAGTACGACGGCGGTTTGAATAGCTCGCGACGACACTCGCGCGCAGTGGCCTAGCTTCGCCCCCGCTGCTCGACTATATGCACTGGCAAGTCTTAGAGCTGTACACGAACCTACGAGAGCCCTCGAACTGCTTCGATTTCATGAGTAGCTGGAGGAGTGCATCTACTTCTGTGCTGCAGCCGATGTCTTTTCTGTGCAACTGTTGAATGGAAAAGCGCTACACCCTTTGCAGCGGCTAAAGAAAGTGCGATAAAACTACCCGCGAATTTTTTTAGATGAAATTTTGTATGGGGGCATCATGACGCTTAGACAATGGAGCGAAAGAAGAAACTTATTTTTAAAGTCATCAAGGTGATGCCGCAGTCAGGATTTGTACTGATCAAGCCCTGAAAATGCACTCTTGCATCGCTTTAATGAATTCATGTCTATCGATGGTGTATTTATACAAATATACAATCGATTAGAATTCAAAATAATTATTTGTTTCTTGAGAACCACTTGCTACGCTCGATGCGATCTTCCTCCGTTGTTCACGTTGCAGCGTGAACGTGTACCAATTGACTATTAGAAAGTAATGAGACTTGGCTTATGGCTATGCACTTCGAGTCGATGCTATAGCGAATGCTGCTGGTATGTCACTTTCTGTAGCAACTTCCTGAACTATATCTTTGAAATTAGACTAATTTTCGTCGTCAATGTAGACAAAGAGGAAATTCCGTAGCATTACATTAAAAGTACATCAAAGTGCATACAATTACATAAGCAACTTGGAACTTACAGAATGTACTCCAAAATTTTCACATTGATCTCTTGAGCTATTTATTAGATGCATTGATACAAAAGTTGCAAGAAACCTCCAAGGGAAAGGTAAAAACTTTGCTATGCCAAGCATAAATACTCGAGTCGGGTCGCATGGTTGTTGCAGCTCGGGAGGGCAGAACTCCCGGAGAAGGAGCGAAAGAGAGAGAGAGAGAGAGAGAGAGAGAGAGAGAACAAGACGACGTGGGCGCCGCATCGCTCCAGCTCTCGCGTGATGTCGTCGGAAGCAGGAAGCATTTCCGCTCGGGTGATGCAAAACTGAACCTAGCTGCCGTCGCGACGATGCATCTCTGCATTTGCGTTACATCTCTCTGTGCTGCTTATAAATGCATTGAGCAACTGCACTGGGCGTCGATGAAGATAACCCACGTGAAACCTAATAACGGCCGACCGAATTGTCGAATACATTCGTCAACTCATTATATCGGCTGATTCGATAAGATTACTTTTTTCTAATTATCGACCATTGGCTTAATTTCTTCTCTCATTTACTATTCTTACGGGAAATTTTTTTATTGAAAATTTCGATGCAATGTCTATGGTAAAAAATGTGAAAATAAGCTTTGTAAAAAAGGTAAACTATTTTTCCCTTTTTCAATCTCAGGCTTGTTCCGCTCGAAGCGCATGGCTGTATTGACGAAAGTCATAGAAGTCAAGTTTGTACAAATTAACTTCGGCCAGTGAAGAATCGGCATGAATAAATATAAAAGCTACAGTCTGAAAGGCGCTCGAGACCAAGTTTCGAAAAGTCATTGCTGCGTGACTGCTACTATGAAGTCTTGACAAACTTTTCTGCTTTCGACGTTTGCATGAATAATTTCCGAGAGAGACACTTGTGGCATTTGCCACTTAATGAGTACATCTCTCATCGACCGTTCGGATGTCAGTGAAAAACTTTTACCTTATTAAACGAATATTCCGAGTCCCAAAGTATAGTCGATACATCGACGCACACACGAATGTCGCCATTTAGCGGACAAAAAACTAATAATTCAAACACGTTCAATTATCAATGACTCATGCAATTCGTGCGATAATCGTATAAATACGCGCTATATTAGGACTCATTGATTCTCTCGTACTAACATTGCAAGTATAAAACAATCAAAAACATCGAATTAGAATTTTAACGGCGATAGTGTGCGGTATATAGCCTACAGGCAACTGTTAGTTCTATCTCTCTCTCTCTCTCGAGTTGCGACAACTTTTTAACGAGCTTTTAGCCTACATCAAAAGTTCAAAGAGGGAATTTGTGTACTTGAAAGGTTTCAAAGCGCGTTAATAGTCAAACGGTGGTCAGGTACGTTAGAGCACGCGATTGGGATGCAAATACAAATAGTCCATCGATATTTCACTTCCAGCGTTTAATTGGACGCACGAGCTTCGTGCGCAAAAGGCGCCGCGATACATAGTAATAACGATGTGAATTATACGATTCGTGCGCGACACAATATCGAATCCTTACTTCATCGACAGAGATATTTCGAGTGCGTACTCGAGCTCCCGTAGCGATTGGAAAGCAGCTCCGATAATACCTTTTTCATCTTAATTGTCCGGACAAAGAAATTCATAATTCAGATTAATATCAGATTGGTATGGAGATCGGTACAGTTGCACGCTGTACAGCACAGAATATGTATGTATACACGAGGCGAAGCTTTACATATGTCAGAGATCCTTGTAAACTTTCCGCTTTCCGCGCACATCAACGCGCGTTCGATGTGTTTTCTAAAGTCAACGCCTCTGACTGACCTACATGCACTAAACTTATGACACGGTTTATCTTTATATACGTGGCTGCGGTAGTAGCGATACACGAATACGTGTTCGTGACCGATTCACATTGATACATCTAATTGGATTCGTGTATACGAGTGCGTACACGATATAGCTCGTATACGTATCCCAGTCAATTTGTTCATTATATACCAGCGAGCTAGAATAGATTTAAAAGTAAAAACAATTTGGTAATTCAATTGTCAGTGAGTGGTAATGAATTCGTTTGATCTGTTTGCGCGCAGAGTACCGATGTAAAGCAGCCAATCGACGAGAGGCAGCCCCAGTGCTTTTGTGCAAGCAAAAAGCTACCCGCACAAAGAAGCCGTGGAAGGCCCGAGGAGGTTCAGCTGCGGTATCGAGGGCCTCGAGGCTACAACAACAGCGCGCCCGTGGCGAAAGAAGCGACGCAAAGCTACATTCCAGAGGTAAGTGATTCCCAGCCACGATCCAGCCAGGCCAATATCATTTTATTGCCTACACAGCTGGACTGAATAAAACTTCTACTATAGGTGTGTCTTTGCAGCAATTGGACGAGCCTATAAACCGGCCGCAAGATGTTTGCCCTGATAATGCGTCGCAACTGGGTCCTCCGCGTGTCCATCATCATCAACGTCTGCGTGCTGCTGTACGTGTGTCTGCACTTCGGCGCGGTGCCCGCCTCCTGGATCGAGGAGAACTCCGGCTCGTGGGCCAGTCCCGCGGCCGTCGCCGGCCAGGCCGAGATGCTCTACGGCACGGCGCCCAAGCCCAACTCGACCGTCGCGGCACCGGCTTCCTCCTCCTCCTCGGCCGCCGCCGCCGCCCTCAAGAGGCTCGACCTGCAGCAGGACAAGAAGACCGAGAGCGCCGCCGTGGCCAGCGCCAGCGGTGCCGTCGAGTTCAAGGCCAACGAGTCCAAGACGTCCTCGCAGGAGGACAAGCAGTCCTCGTCGCTCGGCAATTCGATCCTGCTCGAGAGCAAGCCAAACAATATTACGGTCAGTTTTTTCCCTCCGCAGCAATCGCTTTTCGAGAGCTCGAGCTCGAACGTTCGTAACAATTTTTCTGCGCCGCGGCTGTATCCACGAGTATACCGTCTCAAAGTAGCTTCGACGAGTAATTCGATATCAATTCGATCGCCAACTCGCCAATCTCCGTTACGTGTTTGTTCGATCTTAAAGAAATGCGGGAACAATAGAAGATCCTCGTTGATTGTTTTATCCTTGTCTACCTACACAGCATTATCTGTGCTTCGAACTCGAAGGAAATTTATGATTCGCGTGTTTTTTTCGCTGTAATCACAAATAAATTAGAGCTAATTTATTTGAGGAAATTGGATTCCTCGTAATCCCCCGCCTCTCGTTCCATTTTTCTTTTTTCCTGCCTGATCTTCTTTATTTACTATATTCCGCGCCGTGCATTTTTCTGCATGAATGTAAAAACATCATTTATATTTATGGCTCGAGCTTATCGCAATTATTTTTTTCTCTTCTTTTGCAGACCAGCAACCAAACGCTAAAAAAAGAATTGACGCTGGAAGAAGCCATAGGATGCAACGACAAATCCGCGGAACCAAAAACAGCTCAGAGAGGCGATTACTGGGTGCTTTATAATTATGTGCCTATGAGTGCGAAGGTAAGTCTAATTCATTTGGTCTGACGAAATATTTATATAAATGTCTAACCAATTGGTGGAACATCAATAAAGAGTCATCGATCAATTTAGCGCCTGTAGTAATGGGAAAAAAATTAAATGACACTCTATTGATCAAGCGTTAACGCGTGAATCTCGTAATTTATACTTTTTTTGAACGATTCATCAATTAAGAGTAATTATAATCTCGGCTTTGAGAAATGTTGTTACGTCAAAATTAAATATAATTTAATGAAGTTTGTTAGAAGCAAAAATTAAAAATGGAAAATAAATAGTTTAAAAAAGTTTAAAAGTTGACTATGTTGAACGAATCTAAATTAATTAGTCTCAAAGTCAAAAGATGTAATTTTTTTTCATTTACCTCGTACAGCTGCACTGCTGGGAAAGCGTGACGTACACCACCCACGCGGACTTCACTTTCCTGGACAATCTGGACCCGCTGCTGGAGCGCTGGCGGGCGCCCGTCTCCATAGCGCTACACGCTCCTGGCGCGGATCTCGCGCCCACGATCGAGTCCATCAAGTACGCGCGCACCTGCGGCAGTCCGCTGGTCAAGCAGTTCGTCACCTTCCACATCTACTTCAGCAGCAAACACGTCCCCAAGTTGGTGAGTAAACTCGTTACCGAGTTAGTGCGTAGTCGTTGCGATATTGGTGTATCTCAACAGCATCGGGAAAAATGATAGATGCGGAAGATGAAAAAAATTCCTATGCCTGTCCCCGGTCGGAACGGTAGAGGTATTTAGTCGCATCGAATGAGCTCGTGATTAGTGTAAGTGACAGCAGAAATAGGAGAAATTTTCGATTTTATTAACACCGAAGCTTCGGAATAAATTGGTAAAGGATGCAAATGATTGGAGAGATGGAGTAGTGTTGCTCGCTGGGAAACTTAACGAAGGATAAAAATAAGCTACTCGATGATCCAAATAAACGGTAAAACCTCGCCATCGACGGCAATAAAGCGTGCTCGACTCGTTATCTTTTAGGAACAGTACTCGAGGATGAAATTTCGCTCTCGGTGCAAAGGGTATAAGAGAGAGAAAGAGAGAGAGAGAGAGCTGAAAAGGCACAGCTTGTCTTGAGTAGCTGTCCAGCGCACTCGGCACGAGCGGAGAAGTGCATCGAAATAAAACTATGTACTCGCGATACAAAAGAGAATCTTCCTGTTGGAAGATCCGCGTAATTACCCACATCGAGTCGCGCGAAGAAAAAAAAGTTGCGCTCGCGAGTCGAGTGTGCAAGACGCGCCAGCATAAAATGAGAAAATACACATCGGTATGTGTCACTGTCTCGCGCCTATCTTTCGCGCAAAATCTGCGAGTTCGATTCGCGCTATAAGTAAGCGCAGCAGGTGCAATTCAGAGAAATCCATAGCGCAGCCTCTCCGATGCAGGATCCTATCGTTCAATTGTACACGGAGAGGTTTATAGTCGCTCGGCTCCTGTAGGCTATGGCTTCGAATAGTCGACTCGTGCGTTGGTTTGATTGAGCTGAAAAAGCCATATAGCACGGAGCAAGGTGCGTTTATCGCATCTGTGGTCGCGGATGATGTTGCATGTAAGACTATATACCGCAAGAGAAGAGGCAGCAGGAGCAGCAGCAAGCGCCGATGCTCGATCGCTCAAGGTCGATACACTCGCTCCGGCTTTCATCAATTATATTCTTGCAGGATTATTCGTCTCTTCTCCCTTGTGCTGCTGCTGCTGCTGCTGCGCGTCGCGCTGATCGTCCGCAGGCTCCGGCTCGTTTTCTCTCTATCTCTCTCTTTCTCTTCCTCCGTATCTCTCGCTCTCTCGTCGCCGTGCAAATACCTGTCGACGAGTCTATTTATAAGTACTCGGCGAGATCGCGATCCTGTACTTGACACGAACATTACGTAAAATACCGCGATTCGCTTCTAAAAATAGAATCTCGCTCCGATGCAGCCAGCTTATACACGTACGTTCGATGATGATAATATTTCACCATTTCGAGCTTCGACCCTTACCTCGGCTTTTCTCTCTCTCTCGCTTATAGGTACGTACGTGTATGTGGGTGCGCATTGAATCGAGAGAGCGAATGAACACGCGCGAATACATAAGCTTGAAAAAAGGCGTCGTCGTTTCGGACGTATTTACACGAAGCACTATCGGCCGGCTCTCCTCCTATATGGATTTGCTCTCTCGGAATCGTGCCGCTCTCACGTAGAAGGGCGCATGAAAGAATTTCTACGGAGCGATGCAGCGAGCGAGCGAGCGAGCGATCGAGCATCAGCGGAGAGGAAAAAAAATTCGTGTCAGAGACGCGCTCGATTTCCGTGGCCTCGATAGATTCGCCAACTATAACATCGGGCGCTGCTGCTACTGCTGCTCATCCTTGCGCGCCGAGACTCGTTCCGTTTTTTTCCCTCTTCGTTTTTTTTTGTCATTGCTACTGCTAGTTGTGCCTTTGAGACTTTCCTTTCGGAAAGACGATCTAGAGCAAGTACGGTGGCATTAGGCAGTCCGCGTGTCGCAATGCATGTACACACTGCGTGCACACCGAGAGGCCTCAGTAAGGCCTCGCACTCGTTTACGCTATAACCGGCCGTATAGTCTTGGCCGAACTCGAGCGCGCGGCAGCCGCGTTTTCAATCGAACGCCGTTTTTATGACAATGTAATTTATCGATCGTATTTTAATCTATAAATTTTCAAGTGCGATAAACAAACGTCGTAATACCAGTGCCTGCAATGGCTGGACGGCAAGAGAAAACCAGCCATATCGCGGCAAATTCTAAGAAATTGCTGCGCGCTCGAGTCCACGCGAGCCGCGCGATCGTAACAAAAACGCGAAACGCACACTCCCGCATCGATGAGCATCGTTAAAAAAGTATAAAAATAGTCGTGTGCAGGTAGTCATGCAATATAAGAGGCGTATCGCGCTCATCTGGCTTTTGCGCAATCCAACGAGAATTGCCAGCTTATCGATGTCGAAAAAAAAAACATATATATTTGTAACAATAATGCGCCGGAGAAGCGCAATAGAACACGCTGCACGCGCACAACACAAGAAATTACGAGAGTTGGCCAATTTTTTTTTTGCATTGCATCGCGCACAGGAAGAGTCGAGGTACACACGCAGGCGTGCGCTTCTTTTGCTCGTTACACGCTACAGAAATAAAAGTATAAGTAGCGATCGTGTCGGCTCGCATCATCGAGGATCAAACCGAACAGCTCGTGACATTAGCTTCAATTTTTTTCTTTACTTGCTCGCGATCACTATGAATTACCGTGATGGATTATTATTGCCTTTTTGTTGTTTTATCGGCTGCTGCTACTGAGTCATGCACCGTACATAGGAATAATTGTTTTTAAGCCATAGCTAACTGGAGTTGGATCTTAGCACGCAGAGGGTATAAACTCTCGGATCTGAAGCTAATGCATGTATTATACTAATGCGCTACACTCGAGAGGCGTTGAAAACGCTTTATAGATCGAGCAAAGTATATCGAGAGTCGAGTCGCAGCTTTCGCATCCATAAACACAAAACGATTGTGTAATCGAAGGCATATAGCGCAGCGCAGCGACTTCCGAGAATAATAGCCGCGCATTTATCGGTGCGCGCGAGGCTATTAGAAGGCGAGCTCCGGTATAAAACCTAGCTCGCAATAATATAACTTTTTCTTCTCTTGTTATTGCAGATTCCATCGGGCGAAAAGGTGGCCGCGGACAAAGCCAATTGCAGCAAGCCGGCGCCCTGGCTCAACGTCAATCCGGCGCGCATGTACAAGTCCGAGCGCAAACTGCTCTACCCGGTGAACGTCGGCAGGAACGTGGCGCGCGACGCGGCCCTCACCCGCTACATCCTGGCCAGCGACATCGAGCTCTATCCGAGTCCCGGCCTGCCCGAGGCCTTCCTCGAGATGCTGCGCAGAAACGACCAGCCGGCGCTCAACCGGCCCAATCCCAAGGTCTTTGTGCTCTCGATATTCGAGGTCGACGAGAAGAGCCTGCCGCCGGAGAATAAAACTGCACTGGTAAGGGGATCGCTAGAGAGCTTTTTTTACGATTACTACGCCCGCAACGAGTCTGAAATTCTCTTCCACCTCCGAGCGAGAGATCCGACTTTTACCGTTTCGGAAGTACTTGAGATAGCAGCAGCTCCTTCGACAATTACATTAATGTGGACACTTTGAATTCAAAAAGCACACCGTCTCGTGCTCTTTATTAAAGGGCTGACGTCGCAACATTAAGGCTGGAAATGAGAATTTTTAAACAGCTTTTCTGAGCTTGCCACTGAACGTTCGGGGTTTTTTTTAATTGATGACTAGAATATTCTCTAAAGTTACCTTACATTACCGCTCGTTGTCAGTCTATATTTATACCCGCTTCGTGTAATTTCCATCGATGTCTTTCACAAAAACGTCCGCAATGAAAAATTAAGTAATTACGGTACGTAATTAATCGAATGGAATCCATAAAATATATGTTGCAACTGAACTTTCTCTCGGCTAATTTAACTATATACTGCTGCATAATGAACATTATCAGTATTTAATAATCATTAATAATGAATACCGTTAAATCGCGTATCGTTCAACGGCATATTATAGTATTGCATCACATTGCCCCTGGAAGTTCGTCAATTTCGTATCTCTCTTGATTTACTGCACGAAGAGCCCAGGCGCACTTGTAAATATAACACCGTTCCAGTTGCGAGTATTTTCAGATATTCCATCGCGCGCCCATCACCATTTTAGTTTAAAAGCAAATCCAAGTGCTAAAAATCATTGCGCGCGCGCGCGCGTGCTCGGTAATTTATTGACGGGAAAAGTATGCATCGATCGATTCCTTCGCGGTACATATTACAAAAAGCCATTTTTTCCTATAAAAGCTCGGGAGCTATATAAACTTCATGGCCAACCGCGCGCTGTGCATAATGCACACATGCAGAATAGCTCTCTCTCTCCAGTGCTTGGCTCGTGGCCATTATAGAACAAAGTCGTCGTCGTCGTCTACGGGCAATACAACCGCAAAAGCCGTCGTCGCGGCGCAGCGATCGCAGTATTCATAATAGTTTGTTTGGTTAATGGACCAAGGCTCAGCGGGGCAAAAAATATAGTTCAGATTTTAATCGAAACGTCCGAGCCATACGCACTCAACTCGTCTTCGGTAAAAAAAAAAGCTCGACTTTTTTCTCCCCACACGCTTCGCCGCTGTTTTTCAATTCAAAGTAATGCAATATCTGGTGCTTTTCCCGTTTATTTGATTGCTGATTTTATAACGAATAAAAAAGTATAAATGCGAACTGAAAATTTTTACTAAATTTCGGTTCAAATACGGTCAACATAACTTGATATAACTCTTTGAACGTGTAATAATTATACCGGAGCGTGTAACTTGTCAATTCAAACAAAGCTAGATTTTTTCCGAATAATCTTTTCCGAGTAAATATAAATATGACGTTCGTTCGTATAAAATAATAATAAAAGGAGTAATTAAAAAAGAATGCGTACATGCATGAAATATCCGCATGACTTGGAAGCATTTATGTTTATTGCGCTATCGTCCGTGTTATAACACGAGTATAAAAATAGGCCTTGAAAATTGTATAATTATACGGGGCTAAAACACGGTCTTACGATTGCAGATCCAAATGCTGAAAGCCGGCTCGGCCATTCCGTTCCACAAGAAGCTCTGCTCGGGCTGCCACAACGTGCCGCGCAGCAAGGAGTGGCAGGAGGCGCCCGAGACCAAGGGACTGCACGTGTTTCACATTGGCAAGCGCACCGGCAGCTTCGTGCATTGGGAGCCGATCTACATCGGCACCAACGACGACCCCTTCTACGACGAGCGGCTCAGCTGGGAGGGCAAGAGCGACAAAATGACCCAGGTACGTTTGCAGCATCCACTTTGACTGTACGCTATACCGAACGACGACGAGCGACGTAATCCTGGCCTTGACGTTTATAAATCCCAGTAATGGGATCAACGTCGTGGCCAATCAAACGTTTGCTTCGAGTAAACTGTCGAGCGTGTAACATTCCTAACTGTGCCTCTTGTGTGCGTCTCGTGCAGGGTTACGCGCTGTGCGTGCTGGATTACGACTTCATGATCGTCGACAACGGCTTCCTCGTGCACCGGCCCGGCATCAAAGTCTTCAAGAAGGACAACTATCGTGACACGCTCACAGCCAAGACCAACATCCTCATCAAGAAGATCATCGTGCCGGAGCTCAAAGTTCTCTACGGTACGCGCAAGGGATGCGCCGTCTAGCGCATGTACTCCGGCGCTCGAGGCAGCCCGATGATGCAGCTCCGAGTGCCGAGCAACAGCAACAATCAGCAGCAGCAGAGACGCATCGAGCGACTCGTCTATGCCCGAGCGCTCAATCTCGTCGCGAAGAACAATCCGAGCTGACGACGACGACGATGATTGCTCTTCCTTGTCGCCGGTTCGACTGCGTTATAGCAGTGAGCCCTACGCTTACATACCTAGCCGATTATATTATACTGATTCTGAGAATCTTGTTCGTTAGTTCTTGATTATATTATCCCTCGATTGTGCAGCTCCAGAGCCCGAAGAATGTCGTTTCAAACGATTTCGGAGCCACCCTGCGCAATTCGTCTCCCCCCCCCCTTTGTGCCACACAAATGCGCTTTCGAGCATAATACGGTTTTTGCGAGATTAGCAAGTGATGATCATTTGCATTTCGTTCGAACCATACTACTAAATACTACGACATTGTTAAGTTTTGACTATACAAAGTATCAGTATACATATTATAATGACTGAATCGACTTTCAAGTTTTTCTTTTATTTTATTGTAAATAGTTTAAGTGTAGAAAATTGTATTTTCGATGATTTGTGGTAACTTCAATCACTTAATTTAGGCTTAGAAAAAAATAATGGTAAAACTAGATATTATGATAGATATTACTAAAAATGCTACGTGATAAAATTCAATGATCCATGGAGATGGAGAAACGATTAATATTTTTCTATGAAATCCATTGGATTTATTGATAAGGTGTTGAACGGACCTATACAAATAATGCCAAAAGGCGAAAGTTGAGCTGTTGATCTTTTAATATTCGAATTTAAACTATTTAGTTGATTATCACTCAAAACTATAACATGTGCTCATTTTTCACGACCAATGTACATATTCCTGATGCTGAAGAAAGCCTATAACGAGAGAAGGCTCTTTTTATCATCTTTTTCCAACCGGTATTTGTTTATGAATTATTGTTTTTAATATTATTTCATTACTTTGCGAGCTTCTTGGAATCGATTATCAAATATTCAAGCGCTTTAAAAAAAGATTCATTTTCAAAGATTACTTCTAAATTTTATCCAAAAGCTCATAAATTGAAAAATTTCAAATTATACAAAAGTTAAAATTATAATTAGCTTTAATGTGTAAAGTAAAAGTAATGATAGATTCACATATCACTTTGAAACCTGCATATTTTTATACCAGTGCGTGTAACCATTTAAATTTAAATGGTACTTGCGAACTACGCAATAATGTAAATAAGATATCAGATACTATCGGTAAGCTTTTTAATAATTGTTTTCCAGTCATATTTGTATTGCTTTACTCTATGTTCAACGCAATTTGAAACTTTAGATTCACGATTTATTCTTGAATATGAATTGAACCAGGAGTTCCTAGTGCATTTTTTTGTTTATAGGCAAATAAATAATGGTTTACTTTTGATAGAATTTTTGTAAAAACCAAAAGTTGAAAATTAACATCTCTTCATAAAACATCATAATCACTTAAACGAATCATAAGTAAAAACGTCTAGCGTGAACATACTTCGTGCCTTAAGTACAGAATAATTTATTTCATTGCTTAATATGATTTTATCACAATTTTTAAACATGATTTTTAAATAATATCAATGATAATTTATTCACTTGACTATTTTAAGAGGATAAAAAAGTCGGTTTATAAATGAAGGTTCTATATTAGGTATGAAATTTTTCATTTCTACTCTGACTTTAGCGTCCCAGTAAATTAAAATAAAGAAATTTTTTATTATATAGACATTTTAATTACAATTTTTAGTGAGATAACGCGATTAAATTATGTTATTATTGATCAAACCCATATTCCTTGTGGAAAATCACCATTTTTTACATTTTTACTTTAAACTTAAATTTTTGTTCAAAAATATTTATTCCAATTTTTTAATAAAACTATTAGAAAATTTTATAGGATTAAATGACTTATGAAATAATATAAATTCATTGTGCAAAATAAAGTATTTTCAATATGCATAAAACGGTTGATTCTCAAATTTTGTAGTTGATTAAAAAAATGTACATAAAACTCCATTTCTGTTTGAGTGTATGAAATTATATGTAAAGTTATTTTTTAATTATGTAATGTAAACAAACAACAAAAATACGATGTTGTACAACAACAAACCATGTATTTTATTTACACATGATTTAAAAGTTCAACATTGATGGGTATATTCAATTCTTATGGTTCTATTAGTAGTTAAGTAAAACAACTTATGTTTTTTTATAATTTTATTTAAGCTGAAACAACACTCGATGTATTATAATTTATCGTCATAAGTCTTTTATTTAATGTTCTCACCATCAAAGTGTAATTTTATTTAGTTGCCATTACATTGTCATTGAAAGATTTCTCAGATTTTTTCTGCAATATTTCAAATATTTATAGAAAATTGTAATGAATGTTGTGTCACTACATCACGAGAAATCTTTTTAACGAAATAGTCAACCATATGTTTTTCATTAAGTTTAAAAATGTCATCTCCGTTTAGGACTTAGTTACAAAAGTTTACAAGCTATATAAGTGTGGATGTGAAGTAGTGAGTTAAGAAATTAATTCTTCTCCAGCATCAACTCGTATAGAAAAATTTTCATCTTGTTATAAATTGTTGTTCATGAATTTGTGATGATTGTATGCATCTGTGGGTATGTGAGTTTGAAATTTATTACTCGTTGATTGACTGAAAATTTCACACATGATGATTAATAAAAAAAATATACAGAAATATTGCAGCTATGTAATATCGAATCTGTGTGATTTAATTTTTTCTATTGTATACTGTGCTCTTATCGACGTGCCACTCGTGAAAGTTTTATTGACACAGGAAAACCCCTAAATAACTGCTAAGTCAGCATCTGTTTGTTAATTTGGGAATTTTTCAATTGAAAATGAATATTATAACTTTTTTAACGTTAATTCGGTTGCTCTTAATGAGCTTATTTCTAATGAGTATATGAATTCTATGCATCGCATCCAATATTTCTACATTCAATGGTTTTATCACTGAAATTTCATGAACTAATGTGTTTGAAAGTATGGTGAAAAAGTTTTGTACAAATTTTCATGTTAAATGAAAGCTAATAACATTACCGTATAAACATATGAGGATTACTTGTTTTCAAGATGTTTATTTTTTGATATAACGTGAAAAGTTAAATGAAGTCTGTTAGTAAATAATCGTATCCAAATAATTATTAACGAAATACATTTAATGATGAAAAAAGCTTATGTCAATGTTGTTTATTTCTTAAATCTTTTATTAAAAAAATAAATACTAAACTGTTTTACATTTCCCCTAAAATTTAAAATCATATTGAAAATTATTGTATACGAGTTCATTCTTAAAAAATATTGTAATACATTAACATTTATATACAATTCTTTTGATTATAGTTTTGAATACTTATGTTAAATATGTTTTCATGCAGTATAATGAATTTCAACTTGTATAATGGTGACTAGTGTTCAAAAGGTTAATATTTTAATAGTCCTACTAAAAATACTGGATCGTATGGTTTGTCTTGTTTTATGTTGAAATTTCTTCTTTCTTCTAAAAACGGGAACATATTTTTAATTTAAAGTTCATTAATATTTAAAGACAATAAAAAAATATATTTGTTACCGCAAAATTTAATGAAAAAATTGAGATAAATAATTAATTCTTCGGTTGACGTTTCATTTGGAATTAAAATATCGTCAATATTCAATTCTAATTCCCGTCGGTATGCTATTTTTTGACCCATTGCTCTAAAAATTATCCCTAATAATTTTTCGAATTCTCCAAAATTCATGAAATAATCAGGACAAGAGTTCACTGATTTTTCGAGCGTTTTTGATGAGCTATCTGGAATAGATCTATTTTCATCGACAGGTACAGTCTGCGGATATTCATAGTTTACGTCATCAATATGTATGTTAAAGTCAGTTTCTTGACGGTTTTCCGGTGATGTTACGTTTTCATTTGATTTCCTGCGCAATTTAAATTTACGTCTTATTAATACTTGGTGGATTTTAGATTTCAAATTTCATGAGTAAAATGTTCAAGTACCTTAAATTATCATTTGACTCTTCTAGTAGTTGAGGAACAGGTGGTAATTCCATATTATCATTTGCTTCTTCTGTTATTTGAGGAGCTTGTTCTATATTATCGAAACCTTGTTCATAAGTATTTGATTGTTGAACACCAATTGTTCGTTCATTAAAGTTATTTTCATTTGAAAATCTTGATTCTATATTGTTTACTGCTAAACGTGAAAGTTGCTCATCTTTTTTTGTACCATTGTCTCTCGGAATAGATGGTTCTCCACCTAATCAATTCAAGTTTTGAATAGATTAAAGATTGTTTTAAGTTTTGACTTATAAAAAACTATACTTACTTGAATGTGACTGACGTTTAATGGGTCCCTGAACTATTTTTGAAAATAGGTTTGTCAACTTTTTATTTGAAAAGTATGTATTTTCATTTAACATCGCCCCTCTTTTATGCGATGGTACGTTTGATAAATTATTAGTAGCTAGCGTTTGAAGTTTTTTAGCTAGTTCATCAATATGACCGATTGTCTTATACATAAAAAAAATTTTTTTTTAACTATCTGCACTTCATTTTTTTTAATTTTAATAAAGTTCTAAATTTACCCGTGTAAATGCTGAGGTTCCTAAATTTTTTAGTACAATTTGCTTTACGTTATCACAAACTTCTTCTCCTTTTTTAGATCTTTTTCTTCGATTATCAGTCGAGGATTGACTATCATTTTCAGAACTAGCCGGTGCTTGCTGTGATGATTCGACTAACATTGATGTACTTGGTGGAGCGTAAATTTCTTGGGCATTCATCATGGCGCCTCTGTTTGATTAAAGTACATCACACATATAAATACTTTTAAAATTTTTCAAAATTGTAATTATACTCATACGATTCCGGAATGTAATATTGCGATTGACCGTTGAAAGGAGCTTGGTTTACAAATTCCTGAGAATTTAAAAATTCAGCATCTGCTCCATTTGTATTCATGGGTTCTACGCCGGCATCAAATTGTGGCTCTCTAATATCATTTTCAAATGCAGATAAGCCCAAGCGATTTGGTGAATGGGCAATTGGACGTTCTTCATCTAACCCTAATTTAAAATTTTTTTTACTTATTCATTTAACAGATATGAACCATCGATTGCATTATTAAAAAAGAATTATACGTGAAGAAATTGAAAGTCGTGCTGAAGATTCTGGTAGAGCTTGTTCGATTGCCGGTGCATCAGTAGCCATTTGAAATAGTGAAATTCGGAATTTAGGAGGCGGTTGAAGTGGACTTCTTGCTGATTCCGTTAAATTTGATAATCGTAACTATGAAATAATTTAACAATTAAATTCACTTTTTTGATGTTTTACGTATACAAATATAAAAAGATTTTTTACATGTTCTTTACTAGCTTGAAGAGAAGGCGATGAAAAAGAACCAGTCTATTTGAAATGAATAAAGAGATATTAAAGTTAAAAAAAATTAGATATTAGTTTAAGAAATTTAAAATGCAATTTACTCGTTGTTTTTTTGAAGGAGTTTCATTGTGTTTTTTATCTGATTTTCGTTTGGAATTGGCTCGCAATTGCTCGGTTGATTGACTGTCAAAATATAAAAATTTATTTTTAATTCATCGTAACAGAAATTTAAGAGAGGATAGTTGTAATTTCAGTAAATTATTACATACTTCGGAGTTTGTGGTAAGTTGACCGAAACGTTAGTTTCTGGAGGCTCTGTTTCTAATTCGAATTGGTTGTTTTCATTCGCCTGATTAGGTATCGGCGCATCTTAAAATAAAAAAAATATATTAATTATGAATTAGAATTTTTCCTGAGTTGAATTTGAGAAATTATGAAAATGAAACTACTCACCCTCAAAATTTGATGAATACGACCGTCTTCTTGGTGAAAAATCCTCAAATGGATTAGAAAAATCGAGATCCATTATACCGGGACGTATCGGATCCTGAATAAAACATTTCATGTCTAAAAATCAAGGTTCCAGGGTAATAATTTTTATGCAAACTAACCAAATATTCATCGTCTCGAATCTGGTGTGTGTCTGGGATATCATTTGCGAAATGTTGATAAAAGTCAATGCACATATCATCGTTATTTATTTCAGGTTGATCAATGTCAATAGATTTTTCTGGAACCCCAGTTAAAACGTCTAAATGAGTGGGTTTCTGTGATTTTTCCCTAAAAAATCATGTTACTGAAAATATATGTTTTAAAATTAAAATAAAACATATATAAAAAAAAGACTCTTACTTTTTCTTGGATTTCGATGGCTTTGCTAGTGTCGTTAATTCCCCGTACAAAGTTTTTACGTCGGCTACAAGGGTATCATATTAGTGTATTCAAAGCTTAAAGTGTGTGGAAAAAATTATTAAGATTTTACCTAAGATGAAGTCCATTTTTTTGTCAAAAATTCTTGTAAGTCCGAACATACTCAAAGATGCTTCCCAAAGACTATTTTCACCGACTAGCTCACTAACACCAACAATTATTTCATCGCTATGATTGAAACAACGTAGATGTAATTTTCAGTTTTTCGGTTAATTTGAAATTGAAAGTTCTATCTAAACTTACCAACAATCTTCAATCTCCGCTTTAAAAATGTCAACTTTCTTCAGTTTGAAAGCTCCTTGTCCCATGAAAGTTTTGGAAAGCGCAGCTATACGGCATTTTTGCAAGCAGCCCCTCTTACTTCTTCTCAGTAGAGTGGTTGGGTAGAACATGTTTTGAAACACTACGCGATCGAATTATTAAATTAAATATGGACCGCTTACGTAAAAGAAATGTATTCAATTTGAAATTGGATTTATTCAATCAACGCAAAAAACTGTTTCACAACACTATCTCAGTTACTTGAATTTTTCACTCTATCAAAAGGGATGAGCGACTAGACGTACTGCGCATGCAACTGATGCGTCTCCAAGAATTCATCAACCCCTATGCAAGAGATCGTTTCTGAGTAACGAAGCTCCTCGGACATCCGAGCGGCGAGCTCGAGCTTGATTGGGCACATTGGCCGGCAGCTCCCCTCCTCTCCCCTCTACTCCCCCCGTCCTCGTTCAGCGACTCGAAGCGTCAAAGCTCGCTGCTGCAGCCGCGAGCCGATTAACTGCAACGGCATTGTCTCATTTTTCCCGCGCATTTTCTATCGAGCTCTTGTTTCGTGTTCGATGACCGTTGGAAAATTCAAATTTTCAACGATATCTTCGATACATGTGCATCAACTACAATGCTGAAAGTAACGTATTTTTATTGGAATACTTTATTCGCTTCTTAATATTTCACGAGATGAAAGAATAATTTTTAATAATTATGAATTGGGAATTTCCGTAGTGATGAGTACTTTGAATATCCAATTTGATTTCAGTCAGGAATGTTAAATAAAAACATGTTCGTAGCGCGGCATTTTATCCAAGTGTTGCGTTTGTCTTCGCGAGAACTGATAATGACCAGAAAATAATAACAATCTCGCGCAAGTAATTTAGAACAAGTACATAAACAGACTCTGTTTTATCACACATGAAATATTGCATATAGCACACGGTTCAGACCGTCGTCGATCGTCGCCATGAGCAGACTCGAAGAAACATCTGCTCTTACATAAGTTGGTTTTGTATCGATCGAAATTCAGTTAACGCCGTCATTCAATAGATACGTAGTACAGAAGTGATCTGTCAGACGATAAGATGTTGTGGACTCGTGAAGTCGGTAGTCGCTTCCGCGAATCAGTGTTTTGCTTGTGGCTGCTTTGCCTCGTGGCTCATGATGCAGCTCATACCGACTCGTCGTTCGAGCTCTCCGTCGTGCATTTCAGCGATTTTCATTCCAGGTAAGCTTCGAATGTTTTCCTTAGTCATCATAATTGTCGTGGTACATTGAAATGTTTTATGCGCGATACATTAATATATTGTAGATACGTCGAGGTAGCTCCCAACGGTGGACTATGCTACGAGAAAAGCAAATGCGTCGGTGGTGTAGCCAGGCTTGGTTCGATTATAAAAAGACTCGCATCCATCAGGAAAAATCCAATAGTCCTTAACGCAGGGGACTCTTTTCAAGGAACTCTGTACTATGAGCTGTATCGTGGAAACATCACAGCGCACTTTATGAACCTTTTGCCGCACGATGCAATGGTGCGTACGAAAGATCGCGTTTAATTTGAAAAACGTCTATAATTCATTATTTACAACAAAAAAATTGTTTTAGACTCTAGGAAATCATGACTTCGACGACCACGTATCGGGTCTAGTTTCTTACTTGAAGCAGTTGAAATCACCAGTTCTGGATACGAATATCGACGTGAGCGGAGAACCGTCGTTGCAGGTTGGTAGCACGCCGCCACGTTTAGTACTCACGCTTTTGGAAATTAAATCGGATTCTCTTTTTAGGGTCTCCTATTCAACAGTACTATCATTGAAAAAGGAGGCAGAAATATCGGCATAATAGGCGTGATTGCTTCCGACACCGATGTAAACGAAATTACTTCAGCTTATTTATATCGAGTATATACATAAAATGTATAGAACAATTTACGCTTCTAGGAACTGTCTACGACCACCGGGAACGTAAAATTCTTGGCGGAGGCCGAAACGATTAATTTAGAAGCTGCGCGACTAAAATCCCACGGGGTCGACATCATTATTGTTCTAAGCCACTGTGGTATAGAGCACGATAAATTGATAGCTCAAAATTGTCCTCTTATCGACGTCATCGTCGGAGGGCATTCTCATATCCTTTTATATAATGGTATAGTAAATTTATGCACCTACCTACTCTCAGATGTTACTTTTTTTCTCTTACGAGGATATGGGGGCTTTCTTGTGTTTCAGGTACTCCACCATCGGGTGAAAAAGCTTACGACAAATATCCTATTGTAGTAACGCAAGAAACTGGTAGAAAAGTCCTTATAGTTCATTCTGGTCCCTTCACCAAGTTAGTTTTAGTCTTTTTTTATGTTACTTGGATGTGTAATTTATTAAAACGGAGTATTGATTTTAATTTAAGGTACATTGGCGATATACGAATCGTTTTTAATGATGTTGGTGAAGTCAAGTACTGGAAAGGAAATCCGATTTACTTAGATCAATCTATAAAAGAAGGTTGGTTTAATAGTAATTAATTTTGACGAATTTGTAAAGAATTTTGTTTTGCTCCTTTACGTTTCAGATGAAAATATCGTCAATGAATTAAAGCCATGGAAAATAATGGTCGATAAAGTTGGCAAGCAGCTGATTGGCCGAACTATGATTTATTTGAACAATTCTTGCGATTCTAATGAATGTAATTTTGGAGATTTCATTACAGATGCGATGATCGATTATGTAAGAAATTGCATGGTTTTATTAAAAAGTTCTAGATCTTACAAAAAGTCGCAAAATTTAAATCAAAATTAATTAATTATAAACATCAATTCATAGTATGCTGCACAAAATGCGACCATTGGATTTATGACCGCCAACAGCATATCTAATAGTATTCCAGTTGGTCCAATTTTCTACGAAGATCTTTATGCAACTATGGCTTATGCTAATACTTGGGATCTAATTGAACTTCGTGGTTGTGATTTACTTCAGGTACGTATTAATCTCATCTCAAAGAGGTCATTTTAATATAATCATACGAATAAAAATTGCTACGTTTCTTGTTCATTCATAGGTCCTTGAAGAAAATGTATCTAACGGTCTAAGCAAAGTGGGTTTTATGAACCCAGAATTGATTCAATGGTCAGGTCTAAAAGTTACGTACGATTTGAAGAGAGATCATTCAAAACTAGTGAATGTGCAAATAAGGTATCAGTTTACACCTTTTTTTCGTACATCTGAGACTAAGAAACGATTATATATTTTTTCAGAAATCAAGAGTCAAATGAATTCAAGGATTTAGATAAACAAGAATGGTACAAAATTGTTGTGCCAACATATATGCTCTCGGATGCTTTTCCAATTATTGTCAAAAAACATCGTAAAATTATGACAGGAAAAGATCGTGATTTGAATATAATGATAGACTACATTAAACGATTAAAAGTTGTTGATTTAAAATTTGAGCCAAGAATGATATTTATATAAACGCGATAAAAAATTGATCTTAAGTAATATTTTTTGATAATCTTTTAAATTGAGAACTTTTTTCTACATTGAAACCAGCTACGTGCAAATATCAGGTCAATCTATATTTAACTGTGGTTGGAAAAGGTTTATCAAATTTCCTTTTCATTATTTAGTTATGAATGAAAATAAAATACAATACATAAATTAATTTATTTTTTTTTATAATTTCCTGTTTTATTCTAATATTTTGTATATAAAAATATACATGAATTAGAAGCTTGATTGATTACCTAGAGTCAGAACTTAGTTTTGCTTCATACATGCCTTCAAAAACGTTGGAAATTTAATCACAAGTTTGTAGGTGTACATATCATTTTTATGTAACCATTTCACTTTAGATAAATAGACGAGTATAGTTACTCGACCAACTTTTCTATTATCATATACTTTGACAATTTTACATAAATATATTTTACTCTGAGAACATAGACTTCATAACTTGAAACCTTTTAACAATTTTGTGGCTTCTAAAATGTAAGATTACGAATTATTTTACCAGTTTTCACAATAGAATATTTATATATAATAATATATAATTTTGAGTTCTATTAAATTATAATGCACAACATTTATAATTTTGTACGCATCGGATCCATACACTTTACAATACCTAGTGTTTTTTTATAGATACTAGCATTTTCATTTATCACATGTCTTCAGAAAAATTTATGAGTTAAAATACCTTTCCAACATTATGGACACTGTGATAGCAATGTCTTGATGTTATATTTTATTTTATCACATAAATAATCAAGTCACACTTCAAAAATGATCCTATGTACAATACAATAGTTTTACTGGATACGTTTACACGATAAAAAACTTACAACAATTGAAGATGATGCATTCAGTAATATAGCTATTTACAAAGAATAAACAACCCAGTATTTACTTTTACATTTTACACATCGCAGAAAATATTTATACAAATCTCATGAATTATATTCATGAATATCTCGAGTTATCAAAATAGCCATCATTACCTAGACGGATATTTTAATTTATAGAACCTCTACAGTCTTCTGATTTTATATTTAAAATAGAACATTGATAAATGTGTAATCGTTTCAATTGAAAAATACCTACACATTATTTGAAAAATACGTGTTAAAATTAAAAAAAATTCTTATTTTAAATATTTTGGCTAATATTATCTTAACTGTGCTTTCCTACCGCTAATCATTTAATCATTGGAAACCCAGAAATTGATTCAATAAATATTTTGCTATCGCCATTTGATCTTTCAGTTTATAAAGGCAAAATTTCAATGTCATAAAGTATCGAAATGTTGTCTTTTAAATGTCAGCAAAACCAATGTTATGACCGTTTTAGACTATCGGATTTTCTAGGTTTTCAATTATATGAAGTTATCCTTGGATGGGAAGCATAGTTTCTTGTTTAAGATTGAATTCTTAAATTTTAATTGGTAATTATTGAAATTACAGATATAATATACAAATGATGATAGAAGATACAACATTGAAGTGTGACCGTTTAGTCAATTCACATTTATCTAATAGCTATGCAGTGATTAATAAATATCCACAAAAAAGTCCACGGTATAAAAATAAAAAATCTACATTCATCAAACTCACTGATAATCGATAGTAAATGGAAGATTTTTGAACTTGTTGTTATCAATATAAAAAATAATTAATTAAACAATCTAGTTCCTATCTGTACATATTAAAGATTGACTTTATCGAAGACGTTTTCATTCTAGACAAAAATGATTTAACAGTTTTGTCGTAATTTACATATTAGTTTATGATATATCTAGAATAGAGACTCTCAGAGAAGATCCGAAATTATGCTTATTCCGATGCGTACAATTTAAAAGATTCAAAATTAAAAGAGTGGTCTGTTGTAATAAAAAGACGATTTAACGTCTTCAAAATTTTAAAGCACATTAATACAAAAAATATTATTGGGGAGTATTCAGTTGCTTGATAAAAACTATTTTTTTAGCACGACCTACAAAAGACGACTATAGAAATGTAATTTACTTAGATGAGTGTAAAATTAGTATCTTTCTTCATTTATTTGATGAAAAACGTTTTAAACGAGACCTTGTCGAAAAAGATGCTGCAGTGGGATTGTACGGTGTTTTTTTGCTTTTAGTCATTGAGCTTGACGTAGTCGTATTCATTGATGGGCTGCTCACTCCGTGCGTTGCATTATAAGATTGTTTTGCTTTAATAGGTTTTGCCGTGCTTGATTGTGTGTTAACAGCTGAACTTGATCTCATTCGGGAAACAGCTACAACATTATATTTTACTTAAGCATACATAAATTATATATAACTTAATTAAAAATACTTTTTTTTGTTGTAAATTCATATATTATCAGTTAAAAAATTAATTTCATACTAACTTGCTGAAGGTGGTGATACAACAGAAGTCGATATTGTTGTCACAGAGGATATTTCACTGGATTTTAATTTGTGAAGAGACGCAACTGTTCTGAGATTTTTGTTAGTTAAAATGGGTGTTCCAGTAATATCTACATTACGTGATCTCAACGTTTTAGTAGGCGTTGCAGCAATTGTGTCAGACCTTAACCATCGTTTAGGTGTTGTAGAATCACCGGTCATTGATATCGATTGGCGCTCTCTCGAATAGAAATTATCTCGCATTTGTTGCAATCGTGTACCAGTTGATCGTGTGATAGATGTCGGTCGTCTAATAGTTTTAACAGGTAATACTTTTTTCTCTAGACTTCTTCGTTTAAAACAATTCGGAGAAGACAATCGTCTTTCTTGAACATTTTCAGAAGTGTTAAGAGTATCGTCTGTAAAGAAAATTTAATTAAATATTTAATAATGCTAAATAACAGTAATAATATAATACAATTTAATCATTCAGTAAAATGGGCAATGTTTTTCTGAACTTAAATATAGCTGTTTTTACAATTACCTCTCTAATTAAACTTTTCATAATCAATAACTTCGCGTGGAATATAACGAAAAAGTGTACAACTTCAATTCAGTCACAATTGATAAGATTTCGATCAGACCATAATGAATTAATTCTTCATTATCCAATATAAATATTATATTAAAAAATATAAAAAAAAGTCTTGCTTACAATTATTATAATCATAATAAAAATTCTAAGCTTCGCATAAAGTTGCAAATACTGGTACATTTATAAAAAGAAAAAAAAAGAAAAAAAAAGAATTAAAAATAATTCAATGCATACAAATCAATAAATTATGTTTATGCATACTCGTTTTTGTAATGATGGCTTCATTTGCTGACCATCTGCGGCTAGTATGCCGCAGTTCGTGTTTTTGATTAGCTGGTTCATTTTCATCTTGATGACTACGCAAAACTTCTGATCTTGTCTGTCTATTTAAACACTGTTCTACTTTATCAACTTCATGAGACTTATTTATTGTGTTAAAAAATTTGTTTTCAGTGTTAACTTTCAAATCTTTATCATCAGCATGCTGCAATTTTCTTTCTTTTATTCCTCTTTTTGTTCCTAGCCTCAACCAAGAATGTGTGGCTTGTGCATCCGAATTTTTTCGTTTGACACGAACAACTCGTTTAACACCAAGTGAACAATCCAATTCATTTTGCTTCAATTTATTTGAAGCTTCTGAGTTTTCAATTGTCTTCAAGTCTGTAGTATTTTCAATATATTTTTCTGGTTCTGGAACTTCTTGCAAATATTTTTCATGTTCATGGGACATCGAGTCTGATTGACCATTCTAAAAAGAAATAAAAATTAATAATCAAGCAGAAAAAAATTAAAGTAGACTGAAAATTATTTTAATTTAAGTTTACCTCAGCTTTGTCTGTTTCAAAAACACTATCATTGCTACTACTTTCGACAGTTGTTAACTCTTTTTCGTTTGTTGATTCACCAGCATTTAAATTAGAAGGTATGTAATTAGATAGGTCACTCGATGATACTTCATCAACTTGTATATGCTCTTTGAATACATTATCTAGAGATTCATCACTTGTACTAATACTCATATCAGGAGGCAAATGATTCGAAGAATCAGGTGGTTTGTGGATTTCATAACTTGGAGGTGGATTAACCATAGGAGAACGTGGACAAATCTGTGGATTTGTATTTGATTTTATAGGTGACATTTGTTGTTGATATTTTGATGATTCTTGAGAATGACCAGTTTGTTCTTGAATATCTGGCGTTGGATCCACAGGGTTTTGTGTGGAAGCTAACTGTTCACGCTTTTGACTCAAAAGAAGCTGTAAAGTAAATAATAGTTAAGAATACGAATTTCGAATAAAATTAAGAAATGAATCAATTATTATTAGTTCTTATTAAGATTGATTTACTTCATTGTGTGTAGGTCCAGGTGGATCAAGCATTAAAGTTACAACGCTAGTATTGTCAGCCCTTAATCGAGTCTCAGACCATCTTTCTAATGCTTTATCAACTAAACTTTTGGATGGATTTATCCACATTTGTACAACTCCTCTCTAAAAATAAATAAAATATAATGTACACACTATTTTAGAAACAAAATTGGTTTTTGGAAATTTTTCAACGTACACCAACACCAGTTTGCTGTGATGCAATCAAGTGTTTTTCATTATGTTTTTCAGCAGCCTGTACTGTTTCTACAGCAGTTTGAGCTGATAACACATTCCATAAACCATCAGTTCCAAAAATAAGACATCTATGAGTTTTTACATCAATATTTAATACTCTGACATCAGGTTCTGGTGAAACTACAAAAGTGTCTAATTCTGAGTTGTAACTCCATAAATCACCTGTAAGAATTACAAATTTTCAAAATGAATAGAATGAATAAATAGTTGAAATTTTTTAGTTTTTATCTGTAACTATTGAAATATACCTAATGATCTGGCAACAGCCAAAAAAGGAATTTCATCCATAGGAGTTGATCTTCGTACCGGACCTTTATGACCAATTTTTGGCCTGTTCCATACTACTCTGGGAACTCCTGACTTAGGTACAACTTTTCCTCCAGAATTCCTGATTCTTGTCAATTCATCAAAACTTTCTGGTTTATGGTCTTTGGTTAGCGCTTTAGATCTCCAGAATGAGTCTCCTTCTTGCTGGTAACCCAAAATAATTGCAGAGTCTCCAACGTGGCCTATATAAATTTTACCCTTACGAATAAATGCAACACTGGCTGTTGTACCTGCTGTAGAAGGTAATCCAGCCGCAGTTCTAGGCCATTTATCTGTGGTATGAAATTTCATTATTAGAAAACAGTTTTTCAATAAATAATAAGAAATTAAAGTTTTTTATAAATTTTATAATTGTCTGTAAAAGTATTTCATCATTAAGCATGAAAATTGAACTTGAATCCGTATTTGATATTAGATATAGAGAATTGAAATACTACTTGCAGACAAATCATAAGTACATGTGGTATTGCACGAGAGTGGGGGTACTGAGAAAATAGGCGGGACGACCATTATTCACATATAAATGTTTATAAATTGAAATTCATCGTGCACTTTTAGTAATAGCAGATAATTGGATTATCACAAGTCACGGTTGAATAAAAAAGATGCGCGCGAGAGCGCGGTAAGTAAAATCAGACGGTGAAAACAACACTCACCGAGTTCGCGCCACATAGCGTAATGCGTGTTGACATATCCATCGCGGATGGCTTTAAGCACATCCTCATCGTTGTCACTCCAGAAGTTTTTTTGCTTCACGATTATGTCCATGAGATTCTCTTTGGCGAATAGGGCCGCCTCGCCACCGCCGTGGCCGTCGAAAATGCCAAAAAAGGCATATTCGAGTTCGCGATCGTTGGACGACTGCTGGTAGGCCACAGAGAACATGTCCTCCATGTATTTGCGACCGCCCTGGTTGCAGTGCCCAGTGACTCGCAGATTCACCCCGATGCTCAGCGGCATTTTGACGTTCAAACGAAACACAGCACTTTTTGTTTATAAACACCTAACCTACGTCTGCACTCGGCAGTCAATATAGCAGGAGCGATCTGTCGAAATTGGCAGCGTAAGGCTCGCGACCATGAGTAAAACAGTTTTACAATAGCGAGCTCTGGCTATATATCGAGTGATGTACAGTTTGTGCGCGAATACGCGCGCAGTAAGCAGACACACACGGAGAGCAGCACGGAACGCTTTCGCGCGTTTGGGTGCGCCGTTGAGCACTTTTCGCACGTTCGCGCACGTCTATCGCAGTCTCAAATATATATGTATATAATAGGCATGTATATACGAAGACTGACGTTACGAACAGTTACGACTTGTCCGTTGTGTATCGCCTGTATGTATACACAACACACACACACACACATGCACTCGATCCTTGGTAATGGTATGGGTGCACACGAGTGTGCCTATGTGTGGGTATTATTGGGTACTCGCACTAACGTCTCGTTTTATAACATAGGAGTATCGTCGAACGAAATTGTGTACGAGTACACAGGATTGTCTTTTCACTCGAGAGTCATGTGCACTTAGTCATGCAAAGTGACTCGCTCGCTGCGAATCGCAATTTTTTCGTTCGCGAGAGTTTTTACTTTTACCGCGCACTCACAACACAAGTCATGCGAACTATGTAGTAGGAATATGTGCCTGGCAACTCTTTGGCCCTCTTTCGTCATTCGTCAATTGTTTCTCGCTTAATGACAACAATCGCGCACGTCAGCTCTGTAGTTGAAATCAACTCGTGCGTTCGTGCAATTCAAACTGGGTGGGGTTTCCAAATAAATAAAGCGCTCGATTTGTATCGCACCAGTTTTAAGATTCGGCATCGTGTGCAGCACACAGCACCGCCAACCGTTGCAAATTAACAGTCAACACAGGCTCCTATCGAGAGAAACTCGAAAGTCCACTAATATACAGGAAATATCAGGGCAGGCAAAAGAGAGAGGGGGGCAGCGATCCCGATCATCACAGAAAAAAAGATGGCGCCCGGGCGCGAAATTCAAAACATTGAAAATTCGAATATAAGAAATTATTAGAAAAAATAGTATGGAAATTTTTAAAAATATTAAAGAATGCAAGCAAATGCCAACCCAAGTAGTCTACCATGTAGCACAGCTCGCCAATGTTTATAAACAATTAAACTGCAAACCAGAGCAGATACCTTCGCGACCGAGCTCGCTAATATTTGAATAATTAATTCAGATATTATTTAAATAATTAAACTGACCAAAAGCCGTAACCTTCACGACCCAGTTCGCTGTTATTCAAATTGCTGCACTATTGTTTAAATAATTAAACTGATAATTAAATATCCAAGGTAGCCTAGCTCGTTCTTATTTTAACAATTATTAAAATATTTCTCAGGAACCAGAAATGTAGGTGAAAGAACAACTTTATAAAAAGATATAACTATACATAAAACATATCAATCATTCAAATATGACAAGCTGGGTTATCGTTTGCTATAATTTCAATTAATTTGACCGGATAATATTTAAACAATTATCATGAGAATTATATTGATTATTTAATATCGACAATTTAATAAATAATAAAAAAGATTTTTTATGCAAATAGTAAGTTTATTGAATTAGTTAATAATAAATAGATTATATAATGTGCTACAGTAGAATAATATAAATTATAGTTTTAAATAAATACGACAGCGTATACATCGCAAATCTTTGTTGGTTAAAAAATTATGAACTAATTCTTCATCTTTACTATGCAAAATACACATAGCGTGAAATGGACGACGGCATGATATACAGCGACGAAGATCCGGTCTATCTCTGAAGCAAAAAATGCATGTATCACTCATGCTCGAGGAAAATTTTAATAACTGTCGAGCGATATCATTCCTACATTGAACTGGATCAAATGGTGTATCACTATCATCAAAATGTCCATTGGAGCCAATCACATCCATAAAATGCATTACAAAAGCGCCGCAGTGATCGTTATCTTCTTGTAGAGGGTATTCTTCCGAAAAAGGCGAAATTTTCCACTTTATTTTGCTAAGAAAATTTCCACCTCGATCATTGCAGCGTTTTAAATATAATGCAAAATTTTTATGAGCTTTTTTAGTTCTGTTCGAAAATTCTTTCCTTGTACGTTCGAACTTCTTCGGGTCCAAATGCATTACTTTCTTTTCCAAAGTATCGACAATATACAGAGTCCAATGATCGGCCTCCAAATAAGGTAAAAATATATATCTCTTAATTTGATTTCTACTCAGTTTGTGCATTGGCCAATTTACGTCGGTGTTGTCCGCTCCTAAACTCATAATAGCACGGCTCTCTTCGGTAATTATGGACGTAGCATTCCATGAATTGGTAGAATTCATTTTACCAAAGTTGTCGATAACGTCACCAAAAATCCATTCAGGTGAAATCAGTGACGAATAATCGTTTGAATATAAATAGAAGTAATGATCGGTAAAAATTGGATGTTTTGGAGCATTATAGTTTCCGATAGTGAGAGAATCTTTAGTCGACTTAATATCAAGTAAGTAATAGCTTACATCGTCATACAAACCATTATCGAAAGTGATAGAGGGTAACGCTAGAACGGGCTCGCTGAAAATAAAATTGATTGCATTTATTTTTAATTATAAAACACTCTTATTCGTTCAATTCTTCTCTATAAAAAGCAATGGCCCTCCCTCTTTGACTCTCTATATTCGTCATACAATTCTCATGAAGGAAGTGCACGTATCAGCGCAAAAGAAGATATGTATCTGTGAGCGAACGAGTGTGCACGAGTGTGTGAGCGAAAGGACGAATGAATCTGTGAGCGAAAGGACGAATGAGTCTGTGAGCGAACGAGTGTGCACGAGTGTGAGAGCGAAAGGACGAATGAATTTGTGAGCGAGAGAACGAGAACATGTGTGAGCGAAAGGACGAATGAGTCTGTGAGCGAAAGCACAAATGAGTCTGTGAGCGAGAGAACGAGAACATGTGTGAGCGAAAGCACGAATGAGTCTGTGAGCGAACGAGTGTGCACGAGTGTGTGAGCGAAAGGACGAATGAATTTCTGAGCGAGAGAACGAAAACATGTGTGAGCGAAAGCACGAATGAATCTGTGAGCGAAAGCACAAATGAGTCTGTGAGCGAACGAGTGTGCACGAGTGTGAGAGCGAAAGAATGAATGAATCTGTGAGCGAACGAGTGGGCACGAGTCTGAGTTCGAGAGCATCATTTCTTGGCCAGTTTTATTATATATTCGTAGTAGAGAAGCTATACCATACCTTAATATCCTGGCCTTATGATTATCATTCATATTTATTTTTAAATGATCATCTATTTTCGGCTCGACTGCCGCTGGTTTTAAGTAAATATTCTTAGGGAAACTTTGGGAACACCATTCGCAGAACCGACAATTATTTGATCTTTTCAAGCATCGAAAACATGCCACTTGCATCCCTTTTATGTATACTGGATCCTACAATTTATTTTATAAAAATGAAGTTTATTTGAATGACAACATAAATCAATATCAAGTAGTGCATTTTTTACTTTTTTGCTGTTATTCGATGAATGACTGGTAGCGCAGCTTGCATTCGAATGAACGTCACGTGAAGTACGATGTAATTTTCTGCGTTTCACTTTATTGTTGTCGAAAAATTCCTGTTTATTTAAATATTAATTATAACAACTTCTTTGATTTTTATTTTGCATAAAAATTACAACAAACTACTGGTGAAGATGATTAAATTTCACTGTTCATCATCTATCGGCTTACCCTTTCAACCTGTTTCACGCCACTAGAAACAGTTACAACTGACGAATTATAACTTGAAACTGATCCAGTTTTTTTTTCATGAACATTCGAAAAAATGTCGATTGTAGGAATGGAATCTTCGAACACACCCTACGACAAGACAAACGTTTTTTTTTTTTAATTTCTATATTTTTATCGTGTAATATAGGCGTGATTCAAGGATCATGCAAAATTTTGTTTATTGCACTGAATATTGTACTTCGTACTTCTACATATATTTTATTAAAGAGACGTACCTGTGAATGTAATTCTAGCATTGGCAAATCAAGATCCGATACTTGGATATCCATTTTTCCATCGAATTCGTTCTGTACATCATCCTCACAGTTTTTGAACGGATCTTCCTTTAGAATTTTTTTTTTCACCAATTCCTTTATATATAATTTGTTTATTTCATCTATCATATCAAGTGTTGGGCATGATGCAATTGAAAACGTATTTTTTTTTGGATCCATTGTTCAAAAACTTTTAGAATTATTCAAGTTTAATTACTATTTTTAAAAGCTTAGTCTACAGCTAATGTAGAACGAACACTTTCCGTTGTCTTACTTATCGTTCTACTTAATATGCACCAAGAACACTTTTTTATTGGCACTCACTACACCAGAATTCAAACAACGTATATTTGCTGTATTATAAATGTATATAGTTACACTCGTACAAGATACCATGAGAAACAAACGCTCCTCGTGTTATGAATGTCGAGATACGACTGTCTTGCGAATCGCAAAATTTTCGGCGCAGCATAAGAGCGGCGGCAGTTACATTTCCGAAAAATCGATTATTCTAAGAAATCGTCGACGCTCCGTCTTATGTGATGATTGCCGCCCGCTGCATGCACGAACTCGGTCCAAGTGTCCGACGTCAACAACACGATTTTCGCGCCACTACACGAGATCGCGCGATAAAAAAACAGCAATATTGTTTGCATTCTCGAGTGAGACTCGGTGCAGATCAGTCATCACATTTGTAAATTCGCGTAAAATAACATTATGGACGGTATCAACGATGCAGAATACGAGATCGAGTATTTGGACGAAGACTGCAATATCGATGGTTCAATCGAAAGCACAGAATACGGTGAGATTGAGTATTTAGAAGAAGAGTTACTACAAGTAAGTATTTTTTTGATTTGACTGTTTTCGCATCTCATAACGTTTCTCATTGTTGTCAACAATACTCACTCGCATTTTATAGCTTGATTGACGTTTATACATTGTTATTGTCGGTTTCACATTTTTTCTTTCTTCGTTCATTCATATACGCGATAAACTTATATATTACAAAATAAACTCGTCTTTTAACGCTGTCACATGCACTCGCCCTATTGTGCCCTCACACGCACTCCTCCTCTTGCGTTCAAAAATGCACTCACTCGTTTCCTCATGAATTTGCAAACTAATTCTCATTGTCATCTTTACATTAATTCTTACATAGGCATTCGAATTGATAGTTAACTTTATTAATAATAAGAATTCATTATGCTCTGTGAAGGATTATGAATCGGAGATTCGTTCAGATGAAGTATTTTTATCTGAACTAGATGAAGCTGAGCCAAAACCGCGGCAATATAAGCACTGCTCAAGGTGGAAACTCATTCCAGGTTTTCAGCCATGGCTTACCATAGATCCACAAACACCCGGTACAGTCTGGTGTGCTGCCTGTGAAAAATCATTGGTAGCCGAACTGAGCAATATCAAGACCCATGCCACAGGAAAAAAGCACTGTAAAAATGCTGGATTGCTTGTACCTCCAACCGAGGAGGATTTCAATATTCCCAATGAAAACGAAAGAAAAAGGTCTATAGCCAAAATTGAGACATCTATTGTTGCGGCAATGGTCGACTTAAATATAAGCTTCAAGAATACGAAGAAATTCGTAAAGATTTTACAAAGTTTCGATGAACAAGGAATGGGACTTATCCAAGAAGTGCAACTAAGCTATACGAAAGCTCAAAAAATTGTAATAAATGGGATTGGTAATTTTCTGCATTTAGAATTATAGTTTTCTTTGAAATAATGAAAAACCTTAATAATTATGAGAAAATATTTGAATTGTTTCAGGTCGCGCACACCAAGAGGAGGTACAAGAAAAGCTTCAAACCACTCCA